TTGGCATAAAGCAGGTGCCAGGAGCAACAGACTCAAGCAAGTGGAGCAGAAATTCACAACTTAAAGACAAGCTATGCAATTCTATGCAGAATTATTCCAGAGCCCATTGATTTCACTGGGCTTCGGCTGGAATCTGCACAGACACTGCAAATGGTTAAAAAGACACACATTTCACAAATCCAGTTGAAGAGCACATTGTGATAGAAATGCTGAACAAATCAAAATTGCCACAAACCAAACATAAAAATTCCCTCTTCGTTTGCTGACATCTTCTTGCTTAGTTTCAATGTTCTGTTTTAAAAATAAGGTATGTAAGAAAAAAGTTCCAAAAGATACTGTGGGTGCTTCCCAACAGCAAATTTTTCTATATTAAAAAAATGGTGAGCCCAGTTTTGAGCAGCAAACTAGAGCCACATAAAGGAATGAATAAACAAGACTTTCAAACAGGTAGCTGATTTTTGTAATGATAGATGTCAATTTTTGCACAATATATTTTATCTTTGACCCACTTTAAACGTTGGTTGCAAGGCAGACTAGAAATAAATAAATACCAGTCAAGTAACAGTGTCTTCATAGTGTTGGATATGAACTCCCATGAATTAAAAGCATTCAGCTTTCCATGCCTTCCTGATTCTCTGGCCTCCCAGAAAACCACTGCTGAGGGCAAAGGATTCTCTCTAATGAACAGGACATGGATAGGTTTGCCAGCCTCCAGGCAGCACCTGGTGATCTCCTGCTGTTACAACTGATCTCCAGATGACCAAGATCAGTTGCCCTGGAGAAAATGTCTGCTTTGGAGAGTGGACTCTATGGCATCGTACCCTGCTGAGGTCTCTCCCCTCCCTAAACCCCACCCTTTCCAGGTTCTACCCTCAAAATCTCCAGGTATTTCTCAACCCAGATCTGGCAACCCTAGATGTAGCACAGGAAGCTAAAGCATAACCGGGGAACTGGATACTATAGCTTCCTCTTTTGAATAAGACTTTGCAGCATCCCATGCAAATTTTCCAAAGTGCTTTTTGAGGGGACTGTAGGCCAGTCAAAAACTTTAACACACAACTTTCCCCATGCAAGCAGAAGTGCCTTGCGTTCACAATCTGGGAAATAGGACAAATATAAAGGATTTAGATTTGTTCAAAGGATCTCATTGTACAAGTGGAAGACTCTCCTGCTCTAGGGGATGAACAGATCTCCTCAGTCTGTTCCTTTAGTTTTCCAGAACTGCACATAACATTGCTTTCCTTTGTTCTTTCATTCCAGTTTGTGGTGAATTTCTTAAACAAAGACTGGAATTGGAGCACATCGTTTGTTGCACCTTTCAGCTTGCTTCCGTCACTGCACCTTCACATGATTAATAAATGTGCGCATATTGATTAAAAAAACTGAAAAAGCAAGCTTGATGTGGTAAGACATGATTATGTAAAGACTCTTCTTTGTGCAGTGTTATACTGTGGCATGCAGGGCTATTTTTGAGCAGGAACGCACAGGAACGGAGTTCCGGCTGGCTTCAGAGTTGGCCACGCCCACTACAGCCAAAACCTCTGCATGTGTGGCTACAGAGGGAAGGCCAGGAGAGCGACCCCCCTGGCAACTCCAAGGCGGGCAGGCCAGGGGGGGCATGGAAGGATCGGGGAGGCATTTAAATGCCTCCCTATACCTTCCCCAGCCTGCCCAAAGGCCAACTTGCCCGGGCTCCCCATGGCTGCAGGGAGCCTGGGCAAGCCAACAGAAGGTGTGGGGTGTGGCCTAATATGCTAATGAGTTTCTGGTGTTGGGTGTGGCCTATTATGCTAATGAGTTCCTGCTGGGCTTTTTCTACAAAAAAAGCACTAGTGGCATGCATGTATGGCTGGAAAACTGGGCTAAAACAAACAAAATGAATTTCAGTGGGGATAAATGTAAAAATCTGCATTTAGATAGGAAAAATCTAATGCATAACTACAGGTTGGGGGAGACTTGTTTTGGCAGTACTAGGTACGAAAAGGATCTAGGGGTCTTAGTAGACCATAAGCTGAACATGAGTCAGCAGTGTGACGCAGTAGCTAAAAAGGCAAATGTGATTTTGGACTATATCAACAGAAATATAGTGTCCAGATCATGCGAAGTGATGGTATTGCTTTACTCTGCACTGGTTAGACCTCACCTAGAGTACTGTGTTCAGTTTTGGGCACCACAACTTAAGAAGGATATAGACAAGCTGGAAAGTGTCTAGAGGAGGGCAATGAAGATGGTGAGGGGTCTAGAGACCAAGTCCTATGAGGAAAGGCTGAAGGAGTTGGGTATGTTTAGCCTGGAGAGGAGATGACTGAGATAACCATCTTCAAGTACTTGAAGGGCTGTCATACAGAGGATGGTGCAAAGTTGTTTTCTGTTGTCCCAGAAGGTCAGACCAGAACCAAGTGGGTTAAAATTAAGTCAGAAGAGTTTTTTGGCTAAACATTAGGAAGAACAGATAGTTAGAGTGGTTCCTTAGTGGAACAGATTTCCTTGGGAGGTGATGGGCTCTCCTTCTTTGGAGGTTTTAAAAATAAGGTATGTAAGAAAAAAGTTCCAAAAAATACTGTGGGTGCTTCCCAACAGCAGCAGTCCCTTCCAACTTTATGATTCTATGATTCTATTCTATGACCCATCAAGATGTGTTAGTCTATAGCAGCAAGAAAGAATCCAGTAGCATCTTAAAGACTAACAAAATTTTTGGCAGGATATGAGCTTTTTTGAGTCACTGCTCACTTCTTCAGAATGTATGACCCATATTAATTTCCCTTTAAGAAGTAGGGTTACCATTCCTCTGATAGGGATAGGGGTTTGCCTACTTTCAGGGCTCCTGATCTGCTGCTCCTGATCCGGCCAGTGGGGGAACCCCGCCCCCAAAGTGCCCTGTCCGTGCCAACATATCTGGCGCAATGGCACTATGGCACAGGGCACTATGTGGGGGGGGAATGCTCTATCATTTGAGAAAAAATCTCTATGGTTACCATAGAGTTTTTCTTCAAATGATAGCGCATCCCCCTGCAACATGCCCTGCACGAAGATGTCACTTCTGGGTGATGTCATTGTGCTAGGCATGTTGGTGCATGCACTGAAAAGTCCCGGGCAGAGAGAGGGACCCCCACCCACCAGCAGCCATGTAAGACTTGGCAACCCTATTAAGAAGTTATTTTATTTCTATTTTAAATGTCTGAATTCAGAGAGAGAGAGCGCCAATCAGTCTGACAGGGAACAAATGTCATGGAACAAGGAGAAACGCTCTTACTCTTCCATCAGTATGACCAGCAGCAGGAGAGAGAAGGCCTGGCCTTGATTTGAACAAATTGCTAATTTCTTTCCAGCTATGTGATAGGCCCCAAAAGAGAAGATATAAGTTATACTTTCCCACTTTAGGAGATATTATAAAGCAAAGGGATTTCAAAGTCGTTGCTCAACTTATAGTTAAGCCTTTGTTTAAAAGGCTGCATAAATCTTCACCCTGAGGCAGACTGGTAGCAGGAGAGAGAGAAGACCTGGAGCTTAAATTGAGGGACCTGCTAATTTCTTTGCAGGCCCAAACAAAAAGAAAAGAAAAGAAGAACATATCAAGTACAACTGGAGGGGCACTGGAGAGCATACAAGAGAAGAGAGCCTTTAAGTGACTACTTTGGCCTTTCTCTTTTTTTCACTTTACTGGGCACCAACTGCTGTGATTTGCCTGTTTAGAGTACTGTTTTTGAAAGGTACTGAAGATTCAGTATGTAGGAAGGTTGCTATACTCAGAGCAGCTGTGTCTCAGTTACACTGGTGGCTGCAAAGCTGTTACATTTAAATTTTATGAAATATCATGTTACCTTGGAAAATATACACTGGTCCTGGTCACACAGAGAATTTGCTGTGTGAGAGGCATGACTGCTGGGCGGATTAAAAGGGCATGATCATATGGCAACATCTGGCAAGCGTTGCGTGCCCATCTCCAACCTGTAGCATCTGGCCGAAGATGCGGAGTTAAAAAGTAGCTGGGAAAGTATAGTATTATCCAGAAAACGTGGGGCGTGGGTGGGCATCTGATCACGGAAGTGCTGATATCCCATCGCATCCGGTGCCTGTCTGCTTCCCACCGGATGTTTTCTTGTAAGCCTCTGTGATATGTGCACAAACGCGCATGCACACAAACGCGGTACTGCTTCGTTGCCATGCTTCGCCATCACTGTGTGATCAGTGGCTGACGGCCTGAGCACAGAGCCTTGGGGGAATACCGCACTTCATTTTGCTCCAGAGCAAAAAGCCTCACTTCCCCCCCAGATTATCTCGCTTGTGTGACCGGGGCTCTTGGATATTCTTTAAACCATTTTATAATCTCCAGACAAGCCACAAAGGTGCTGCCGTTTGTTGACTCTACCCATTTCTTTTCCCATTCCCTGCCTCTGTTGCTTTATATAGTAAAGGAACTTTTTTGGGAAATAATAATACTTTAACCTAAAGGATTACATTTAAATTGTGTATCCCTATAACCATCAGTCTCTCAGAGTAACATTTGAACCCAACTACCCTAATCTTGTTTTGTATTTATAATATACACAGTTACAGTTTTCTAGTCTCCTCCCTCCCAGCATGTGTTACTTTACATCTGCTGGTTTTGCTGGTCTTATGACTGTTCTTAATAAACTTACTTACTTTACATCTGCTGGTAATTTTTCTTGTGTGCCTTATGTCTTCTACCTTAAAATTATCAAGGTCCTCTTAAATTTTAATCTTATCCACCGAGTGTTTGGGGTTTCCTTCGCTCTCAGTTTTTACTAATTTAATGCCAGTATACTGTAATATCATACACCATAACACTATAATTATTTTGAAAAGTGGCTTCATATATTGTTGTTACTTCTCTACAATAATTTCTAAGATACTTATGTGTGTATGAAAGTTTTCAAAAAAGCCGCATGTTCAATAGGAAAACAATTCATTTCCCAGTAGCGAAGAGAAGGGGAGGGGGTGTCTGCCAGTGAAGCTTTTATAAAATAACATGGACTTACTTGAGCCAAAGCAGCATCTCGTTCTTCTATGACTGCATTCATTTCTTCAGCCGTTATTTTCTTTTTGCGTTCCTGAGTCCTGTATATTCGATCGACAATTACAGCTCCAGTCCTTCGTATAGCCATCCCAGAGTCTGCATTGTTTATTCTGTTCAGTAATTCCTGTAATGTCTACCAACAGCATTATATGTTAGTCAGACAAGAAGTTTTAATATATTTTATTTAATATAGGGTTTTAATTAATAGGCACATGTGAATTGTAAATTGACTGAGTGAAGTTATTGAATTTTCATATTGCAGCAAAGATGTACATTATTAGTGTGTCAATTCTTCTTTTTCCCACATCTTAGTTCCTGAAACCCACTCAATTGAACTTAAGCCTCTAAGATATAAGACTGACATCAAGAAATCTCCTCAGAGAATGGCTTACCATGTCATTTTCTTCAGGGTTAATATTTTCTAGCCTAGAAAAAAGGGACACAGAAAGCCTGATCAGTAGCATTTCCTTAGTGCAGCAAAATGAGTTCGCTTTTTAAATCTTTAGAACCTCAAGTAATTTCATTCTAGTAGTCTTTAGAGTCAACCATGACACTGAACATATTAAAGTGCCACCTGCTCGATTCCATCTTTCAATAATGCTCCATATCTTCAGTACCGACTTCAGAATGTTAAGTTATTAATGTTTACTACTATATATGACTACAAGGATCAATTGTTCATATGTGCTTAGATGAAGAAAGTTCCCCAGCGACGGAAGAGCACAGATGCTCTTTTATTTATTTATTTCTGGACTTGCAAGTTTCATTTGAAATTATGTATTTTAGTTTTTGTTTGTTGCATCCCTAAATGAAAGAACACATTAGCACTCCAATCCTAAACATATTTACTTGGAAGTAAGTGTTGCTGCCTTCAATGGTGCTTACTTCCAAGTAAGTTTGGTTAACCTTGCGCTTATGAGTCTATGGAAAGTGGCTTACAAAACACAACTTCTAATTCTGAACAGAAGATCAGAAAATTAGATAAAACTTTATTGAAAACTGTTCCTGTTTCCCCCATAGACTAGTGTCTCCATCCTTCATTCTGAGACAAAGATACAACAGCCTTGCTCATTTTTATAAAATTGTTTGTCTGTGATGTCTGTATAAATGTACAGAACTCCCCATAGACTAGGGTCTCCATCCATTCTGAGACAAAGATACAACAGACTTGCTCATTTTTATAAAATTGTTCGTCTGTGATGTCTGTATAAATGTACAGAACAATTCTGACAGAACTGTAAATGTACTAATTAATATTGTACTAACTCTGTAACAGTGGGATAAACAAGCAATCCATTATTTAGAAACCCTAATGAAAAGTTAACTGAGTTTTACACATAGGTTAACAGCTTTAGAAAAGTTGAAACCCATTCTTAACTGATGGTAATTAATAATTATGCTGCTGAATCAGAAGGTATGACCTTAAAAAAAAAAAAGCCAAGAAATTTCCTTGCTCCATTTTTAGTTCTCTCTTTTGATTATAACTCCTTCTGAATAATTTGAAGATGCTCTTGAAAAATGTCTACTTTTCTGGAACAGGTGTATCATATGAGAGTGGTGTAGGAAAGGACCTTGGAAATTCAAGTGCATTAGCTCTCTCGGTTCAATACTCTGGATACTATTTTAACAAGAAAGATGCCAGAGTAAGGAAGACATCCCACCCTTAAGCTAGTTAGAGGAGGTTAAAATAACCTATACAGTAGTACCTTTACTGGAACTTCTTGCAGTGGCACCTACTGGGCACCAAAGTCAACAGTTTAAAGAATATGGTAGGCAGGGACTTTTCCTTTGTCACCTCCACCCTTCAGGTTGCATGGTCTTTAGTAGAGAGGTTATAGCATCACCCAGAAGTGACATCACATCCTTCACAAACTCCATCCTCTCTAGACACCACTCCCCAAATCTCCTGGCAGGGTTGGGAACACCATGCTGACCATATTAAGATTTAGGAATTAACTGAAAACATTTCTTCCCCGCTCCCTGGCTCTATTAATGTTACTTTGTGTTTTCTGTTTTGTTCTTCTGCTCTGCCTGCCCGCTTCCTAGAATGTGTGGGTTTATTATTTTCTGGCAGGTTTTATTTTGGTTTGCTGTCTCAATGGCTTTACTTCTCCCTTGTGGTTTTAATTGTTCCATATTGACTCTTATGAGTGACAAACATTCATTTTAAACATCTTTTTTTAGTGCAGCTGTGTTGTGCTTTAATTATTGCATTTTAAATAAATGGCTGGGTATTGCCTGGAAACCACTGGCTGATGAGGTACAGCATAAATGATTCAAATAAGAAATTAAATATCAATATGCCCACATAAAACTAAGACATTTGACAACAGCCACCTTCCAGTCCTATATGTGGATAACTCTGACCTTAAAATACCACAAATAAATACATAAAATCATCTAAAGATCTTTTTGAGGTTCCAACCTATAACCCAGGCCTAGCTTATAGAAAGGTTTCCTGCAGATCACTCCCACAGTCCTGAAAGAATATAATTTAATGGTGCATGAAACGAGCAGCCACTCTGCAGGCTATATGTGTAAGATCTACACTGTGAAATCTGTGGGAGGGGGAGGGTTAACAATCCTGAGTAAACTGGCCTTCAGCTGCTGCATTTCATGATTTTAAAAAATCAGCAGGATTCAGTGAAGGATACCCTTGTATCCGGTCTGGTCCAAATGGTAAATGAATTAAAGTTACTTAAAATATAACATTTGAGAAAATATGACAGCTATGGATCACGGCATATTCACTAAGATATGAATTTGAATTCTTTGGCCAAAAATAGGTAAGGTGGTCTCCCTGAGAAAGTACAGTTTTAAGCCAATAGGTGTATTTCAAATAAGAAGTATATAATTTTATTTATTTATATTTTATTTATTTTGGGATTTATATCCCGCCCTACCCAGCGGCTCAGGGTGGCTAACAAGCGGCAATGCGGAATTTAAAATTTAAAACAGTACAACAATATTTCATACATAATAAAATCGGTGCTCTAATAATCTACATAAAATCACCAAGATGCGCACATTCCACATTGGCGGCCGACTTTTTTAATGGCATGAGCACCAGGAATGATATTCTCCCCATTTCTGCTGGGCAACATCTACCCCCCCCCCCAGTAATGGGGTAGATGGATGGTGGAATCTCAGTGGGGGAATTTCTATTGGTTACTCCCCCTCCCGTGATCAATAGATTATATCTAATTTTGCATTTAACATACTGCAAAAAGGAGAGGATACCATTCATGACTGGTTGGAATATAAATTATCAAATGATAATTCATTGTTTCCATCAGCGGGCATGGAATATACTTGAAAACAAGTTTCTATGATAACTGGTAAGTATTTCATATATCCAACCTGTGACACAGTAGCAGTAGCTAATGACTAATAAGCATAGCTGTGTGATCTGAACAAAGTGTTCTTAGCGTTTTAAAAGTTGTTGGTTTCTACCACTGATGGAAAGATGAGCTGTATAGTCCACACCTTTTTGTCTTTTATGTTCACAGTTTAACAGGCATAGTACTTTAACACACTGAGCAAGAATGACAGCAGGACTCATTGAAACAGAATCTGAACAATGAATGCTGGATGAATATGGTAGTTAGTAGTGAATTTCATTTTACACCCCCCTCCCAGTGAATTCTGTAGAAGAAAATACATGCTTTTATTTCAAAGAAAGGGTTAAATTTAATTTGTTTTTGATTCACAAAAGATGTTGTGGGAGGGGAAGGTATAGGATTTGATTGCCATTCTTTAATAACCATCTTTTCTGATGGAAAGTGTCTACTGCCACAAAGGACTGATTGATTTTCTATATAGTGAAACTTCTGACCGACAGCCTTGTAGTCCAAGCACTGAACCCTTGTATGAAATGTCACACTCCCCTGATTTATTCCTGAATAAAATCAATACTCAAGTTTTTCTCCCCTAACATCCACTTTGATTTCTGTCTCAGGAGCAAAACTGGCTCCTGATACAAATAACCTCCATCAACAATAAAAACAGTCAGAAATAAATCAATGTTTATGAAACTCCTGTTGCCCAGCGTAGCATAAACGTGACCCTCATTCATATTTAACACCGGGGGGGGGGTAGGTATCGTAATGATGCCGTAGTGTCACTTCCTGTGAGGACCTGGAGATGATGTCATTGCATTGATGTGACATTCTAGAATTTCCTCTAGAGCCAACAGAATGACACCGTTTCCATGTTCACGCTGGAAGTGACATGGTGGCTACAACAACTATTTGCATGTCCCCAACCCCCAAACACTCCTGCTAGTTGCCAGTACTCAGCTGGCAACCCCAGTTGTATTGCATTCATGCATCTCCTTGGGTTTTCACAGCTTTTACTGATCTTTCCCAAAACTGCTTTGCTGCAGAGTTTTGGGGAACACAGCAAAGCTCAGATAGATGCTGTGTGAGTGCAAAAGTTTGGATTTCCCTGGGCTTTGCAATCTGTTTATCAGACTCACAGAGTTATTTTGTCGTGCTTTTATAATATGCAATTGAATATCATTATGCAATCTGTTTATCAGACTCACAGAGTTACAGATTTTCATACTTTTAAAAAACCAATACATTTCTGACCTTTTTATTGTGGAGATATAAGGGCACAGGCATATCTCCACGGGAAAGGGGAACCCGATAAACAGTCTGTTATAATTATATTCAACTGCTTTTTTAAAAAAAGTCCTGGTTGCATGGGTGGGGCAGTGGCTGCCAGATACTGGGGCAGAGAACATGAGGAAACCTATGTGGAAGCTCCATTGACACTGCGGTATCAGCAACTGTAGCAGAAACACAGAAACTATATAAGTCTATCCCTACGTGGGGCCTAGGTAAAAAAATCTCTGCCTGTGTACACACACATATAGAGTACATATTTATAATGTGGAGAAAAGGATATCAGACAAGTGTCTATGGCACTTGCAGAAATAGCAACCATTTCATATATAGTGTCAGACTAGGATCTGGGAGACTCCAGTTCTAATCTCCACTTGTGCCATGGAAGCTTGCTGAACCTTGGACTACCCACACACTCTCAACTAGGGTTGCCAGGCCCTATTTCACCCCCAGCAGGGGGATTTAGGGGGCGTGCTAGGAGGGGCTGCCCCAATGTGATGATGTCACTCGTGTCAGAGACACAGAGCCATGTACGCATGCCCCCCCTTTCATCCAACCATTTAAAGGGAACCTTCCCTTTAAATGGTTGGGGGAAAGCAGGGATCACCTGTGCCTGCCCTGCAAGCCATGAGATAGCTGCTTGTAGGGCAAGTGCAGGCGGCACCTGCTCTTCTGAAGTGGGAGTCGCTTGTGCTTGCCCTGCAAGCTGTGATCTTGCTGCTTGTAGGGCAGGTGTGGGTGGCCCCCACCAACAACTTTTGGGTGCACTGCCCCCGCCTCTTCCCAACAGCATCTCTTTAAACACTCTTGGGAAGTGGTGGGGGGAGGCCACTCACGCCTGCCCTCCAAGCTGTGCCAGCTGGAGGGCCCTTTAAATCATGTAGTGGGGTTGCTGGGTGGTCACTGTTGGGGATGGGGCTTCCCTCCCCACTGGCCAGCTGGCTGGTGGTGGGAAGGAGCCCCCCAAAATTGGGAAACCCCCACAGGACCGGGGGGTCTGGCAACCCTACTCTCAACCTAACCAACTCACAGGGTTGTTGTGAGGATAAAATGAAAGAGAGGAGAACAATGTACGCTGCTTTGTGTCCCTATTGAGGGAAAAGGTGGGATCTAAATTAAGTAAATAAATAAATATAGAAGAAAATGTCTACGTACATCTCAAAAGATTGCTCCAGTAGTTGCATTTGTTTACATGCTTCATCTCTTTCTTCATTAGCCAACTTCAATCTTGCCATTATTGCCTCATCACGTTCCCATTGAGCAGAATGAATTTCTTCTACTAGAGCTGCAATACAGCAAGAATTTAACATATGAACACGATGAATTCCCTTTTGGTACACATCTAATCACACATGGTATCTCTGCTTTGCAATATGGTTTGGAAACAACTGGTTCATGTAATCTGTTAAACATAGTAACCTATGGACACAAGCCAGAGAAGGCACACTTGAAGAACAGATACCAAAGAAACATTCAATAAATTCATTCCCTATTATTTATTTAGAAGATTCATATACCACCTCTCCAGCAACTGCTAGAAGTAGTTCACAAGTTCAATGCTACAAAACATTAAAAATTATACTAAAACAAGCAATTAAACAAGCAAGGAGCCCACCAGAGACATAAAAAGCAGCATAAAACAATGTTTAACCAATATAATAAGAATCATAAAATAATACTCTTAAAACAGTCCTTAGCTTAGAAACAGGCCATAAAAACATCTACTAAAAAGATGGTCTTCAATTAAAAGCCTGGAACAAGAGAAATGTTTTGGCATGGCGCATAAAAAAATGGCAAAACAAGAATCAGGCAAATCTCAAGGGCAACCCAAAAATTAGGCTTTATCACTGAAAAAAACAAAACACCCTTGTCTCTGGTTGCTACCCTTCATAGGTTATGAATGTTATGAGGGTTATAGGGCTGAAGCTAGGAGAAGTCAGTTTTATTTTCTCCTAGTATCATCTGTAACAGACAATACATGACACAACCAGTGGTCATTTCCTGCAAGAGCGCACAGGAGCGGAGCTCCGGCAGTAAAGAGCCCAGGGGGCGGGCACATGCAACAAGCCCCACCCCCTGCTCCCAGCAGCCCTCAGTCAGAGCAAGAAGCAGCCAGGTAAGTTGCAGAGCTCCCCCCAGCCTCCCAGTCCAAAACAGTCCAGTGGCACCTTTAAGACCAAGTTTTATTCAGGTACAAGCTCTCCATCCTCGGCGAGGACAGATCTGCACGTTCCCCCCCCACACACACACACAGTAGCTAGCAATCCAAAACAGTCCAGTGGAGCCTGAGCGGTGGGTGTTGCCTTCTGACACACTTCCGGTGATGTCAGGGTGTGTGGCACATGCAAATAAGTTATGCTAATGAGTTATGCTAATGCCTCCTGCACCTCTTTTTCTATTAAATGACCCCTGGACACAACTTTATGGTGTTCAGGCTCTCCATCCTTGCTCTATTTGCCTGGATGCCACTTGGAAGAGGATGGAAACTCTGAGTATAACAAGTGGAGACCCGCAACAAAATGTTGCGTACTGTTGGGTCTCCACTTTTTCTCTTCCCCCCTCCCCTCCCCTCCGTAGGCCTCCCTCGTCTCTCTCCCCCTCCCCTCCTAAGCGAGCCGTCGGGCCTCGCTCATCTCTCCCCCCCTCCTCCCCCTGTCCTCCGAAGCGAGCCCCGGCGGCTCCTGCCGCTGGGCCGCTCGTCTCTTCCCCCTCCCCTCCCCTCCGAAGCGAGGCCCGGCAGCTTGTAGCTGCCGGGGCCTCGCTGGGCTCCGGCTGGCTGGCTGGCCGGCCAGACC